TCGTTAATTGGCGTAAGTCCCAGACTCGAATTTATTATCTATTTAAATAACTATTATTTAAGCTCATTTTTATTGCGTTGCAAGAATGGAGAAGGAAATCGACTAATCAAATGCAGAAAACGCCTTTTCCTGTGCGTTGTCGTGAAACACTTTTTTTTAAATATATGACAATCTATGCAAAAATTAGCGTTTTAAGTTAAATTCAATTAAAATCAGGGCTTTTAATTAGCTAAATTTCTACAAAATTCAGAACCAAACTTAAATTCTTAGGCAGCGAAAATTAATTGGTATATTTGAAATTTTGGAAAGTCAATTGCCGCTGTGCAACCCGGGGAGATTAAAACAAGAAAACATTTCCAGCTTTTTAACCTTTTTTAAAACACATTTTCTTCAGGCAACCCCAGCCCCTCGAAAAATGGCCGAATTTTCGAAGAATATCGTCCCAAAAATTGGGCTCAGCCACGCCCCCAAGCTACCGTATATCGTCGAGCGGACCAAGGACCGGATGCGGTTTATCCTCGCAGCAAAATATAACACAATTTCGCGAAGAAACGGAATATTCCGCGGGCAGACTGGAGGCGGTACCATAAGCCGAAATCCCAATTTTTCCGGGTCCCTAAAAAGTGCGCATTCTACCGTACCCCAGGCCCATCATTCGACTTCTCAAAATTCGCTATTTCCGCTAAAACCTGACCCGGCTACCGTAGTCCCGAGGGTCCCACAACGTGGTCCTGCCGCTACAGCAAGCCGCCCAATAATTCCGGCCGTCATTAACCGGCATACGGTAGCCCCTATTTTGGCTACAGTCACCTCAAGAAATGGAGCTACAGTAACCTCAGCTACCGTATCCTCAAGGCTTGGAACTTTGCCAAGAAGCCGCCCAACCCTACCCCCATTCGTCGCGGGACCCCGGCAAATAATTCCGATAAATCGAAGACGACTCCACGATCAGGTCCTGCAAAGAAAAGTGGCGCCTGGAAAATTGCCAAATCGGCAGATTCCGGCTACTGCAGTTAAATTACATGCCGTGACTGGTTCTACAGTAACCCGGCTTCCCTTTGGGACCCAGAATATCAGAAATAATGCGAAAATTTCTAGTACGGCGGTTACAGTAACCCGGCCTACTGTAACTAGACCAACTGTAGCAACAAATACCGTAACCAAAATTCCCGGCGGGACCCGCAAAATTGGAAATTCAAGAATTTCCAGTACTGCAGCTACAGTAAGACCTACCGCAACCCGGCTTCCAATCGGTGGCCAACGCCTTGGAAATCGGCATATTTCGACTAGTACGAAGAATACGGTAGCTACAGTAACCCGGCCTACCGTAACTAGGCGTACTGTGGCACGAATTACAACTACTCGGCCTACGTTAGCCCGAAATACCGTAATCACGCATACGGTAACTGGGCCTACCGTGGCTAGAGACACGAATCGTACGATAGCTACCGTAACGCGACCTACCGTAACTCGTCCTACGGTATCCAGAATTATTTCCACTCGGCCTACAGTACCCCCAATTCCACGCGGGACCCAGAAAAACGCAGCTATCGATAACGCGACTACGGTACCCACAGTAACCCGGCCTACCGCACCCAGCCCTACCGTAATCCCGTCCGGAAAAATGCAAATTATTCATATTCCGGGTTCCGCTACGCTAAGGCCTATGACGACTACTGTAACTCCGGGTACGGTATCTCGGCATCATTAACGTTTCAATGCTTAGCTGTGAAAATAAGCTAAAAAGGATAATTTTAAGAATGTGCGGTCTTTCGCGAATTATATGCTTTAAGATTGATGCTTTTTCCATTTTGTTTAAAACATATTGTTTTCATTCAAAAAGTTTTGAGCCATTTTAGTGCTGCAGATTTTTCCGCAAAATAGAGGCCGAGTTATTGTCGAAATAATATTGTCATTGCTTTAAATAAAAGACTTTCATTTTTTGTAAAACATTGTTTTTGTGCTTGCTATTACTTTGATGTGATTTTTTTGCATTTTTTGACAATGGAATTGCTTTTTGTATGTGATTTTTCCGGTGCAGTAATTTTTAAAGGGGTTGTGAAGTCAAAAGGCCACTACCGTAATTCCCAGCACCGTAACCCGGCAAATGCCTCCATGGATTGGTATTTTCAGGGAGTGCAATCAAGGACGCCGATTAGTTGCCTCACGATTAATACTCTTTTGTATTTTTTCCAAAACATATCGTTCTTTTTTAAAATTTTTTAGCCGTTTTAGTGATGCAGGTTTTTTCGAAAATTATAGGATCAACTGCTGAACAAGAATTGTTATGATCGCTTCAATAAAAAAAGCTTGCAGCTTGTACGAAACATTGCTTTCTAACAAAATTTAATTTGGATTTGTAATTTTTGTAGAAGGTTCCATTTATACAATTTGGCCGTCGAAATTGTTACACTTTTTTGAGTGGCTGGGTCTCGCGCGGACTGTGAATACAATCGGAGGCGGTATTAGGAACCTGAAAAACTCGTAGGCAATTGCAAAATATGAAACATTCTTCGCACATTTTTTTTGCGAGCTTCTGAGTACCATGGCAAGCTAGCCGAGATTCTTACAGCGTTGGACTTTCCATTACAGTCCGTTTAAAAAGCTATTGCTTTTAGGAGTTCTGGATTTCTCCGATTTCCCTGCGATTTTTCTCTGTTTTTGTCTTTGACTCTAGCTACCAAAAAATTCCGCGCTTTTTTGGGAAAACTTGAACGAATAGAGATTAGAAATCTAAAATAAATCCACGGCAATGTCCAGCTATGAAACATTCTTTAAGATTTTTTTTTGCAAGCTGCCGATTACCATGGCAAACAAGCGGAGATTCTTAGGGAATTGGGGCTTTCCTTTACAGCGCCCTTCAAAATCCGTTTTTTATTTGCTTTTCAAATTTGCCAGATTTTGATCTTTCGTACTTTGTTTCAATTAGGCCCACAAAAATCCCTGTATTCCATGATCGGGATACGGTACATTTGCCTTGGAGCGGCCTTAAAAATTCTACCGTTTTTTGGATTTTCGGATTTATCCGATTCCTCTGAGATTTTTCTCTTTTTTTTTGCTATGAATCGGGCTGCCAAAAATTTCTACGCCTGGGACCTTGGGCAGATAGAATTGGGAAGCAGAAAAACTCCATGGTCATCGTCAACTATAAAACATTTTTTTGATAAAAGTGTTATCTGATTTTTGCGATCAGAGTTCCATGGCATGCAAGTCGAGATCAGGGTTGTTCACTGATGGACCCGGATCGGCAAGGATCCGGATCGGATCTGGATCCGGATCCGGATCGGATCCGAAGTCGAGTCCGGATCCAGATCCAGATCCGGATCCGCTCGGATCCGGATCCAATGCGGATCCGAGGAAAAAAGGGACCGGAAGTAATATTCTAGATTCTGATGCAGATTCGGTCATGTTAGTCGCAAAAATACATAGCCCAGAGGCAGAAATGATCTTTGAATCTAAGAATTAGCATTTAACTCGGTTGCATGATCTATTTCCTTGGATCCGGATCGGATCGGATCCGCCCTGGATCTGGATCCGGATCCGGATCCTACTGCGGATCCGGATCCGGATCCGATCCAGATCCAGATCCGGATCCAGTCCGATCCGAAAATGACCAACCCTGGTCGAGATTCTTAGGGAATTCGGATTGGTGTCTACAGCCCCTTTAGAAATCGCTCTAAAAAGTCGAATTCTACCTTCACAATCCCATTAAAAATGTTTTCAAGGGATTGGCAAGAGAGATATATATGGATTTGTCTATATGGATTTCCGTAAAATCCATAGCCCTGCCTTGCCAGTCCCTTTAAAAAGCTTTCTAGCTGTATTTTTCGCTGTGATCTCAGGAATTTTTTGATGTTTTTTTTAAAAATTACTGCTTTTAGCTTTTTGCGTGTATTTCCCCCACCGCTGCAGGAATTTTTTTTTAGCTTTATCGAATTTTGCCCGAATTTTTTCTGCGAATAAAATTTTTTTTGAGATACGTGATGTCACACGACTATGAAAAAAAGCGTCGCGAGTTAGTTGGCCGGATTTGAAACACATTCTATATAAGCTTCACATTTTCGCAGCGGTTCGGATCTTTCCCATTATTGGGGGGTACAGTTTTTGCAGTCAAAGTTAACGATATTAACGCGGAAAACTATCGATATCTAAAAGCTCCATAAATTTCGCGGAAGGAAATAAATAAAATAACATAAATAAAACCACCTGTTTCTCAACGATTTTTAAGTTTTTAGAAAAATCGTATTGCTAAATCACGAGGCAGCTTTAGAATAATCAGATACAGTGCACCTTTTTAATAGAAATATATTTTTAATAGCGAAAATCCAGTTTAAAATCGGAAAAAAATACGTATTTATCCATTTAATTGCCTAAATTATAAAAATTATATGGCGTTGTCGTTCTGAAAGAATTGGAACTTGGTCGGATTGAGATTTTGCCGTAGTTTGAAACCTGACTTTTTATTTTACTAAAGATTTTTACGGAAGACAATTTGTTTGCTCCTAGGATTTAAAATAAAGTAAATACGCAATGCGACCAAAATCGCACATTGTCAAGATGAAGAGCGGCAGCATTAACAACCAACGAATATTTTCTCGCCTTCAGAAAGTTTGAAACATTCTTTTGAAACTTTGAAAACGTGAGAACATCCGTTTCTATCGCCTCCAAATAGAACCTCGATTTTTGCGGTTAATCTTGGTATATCAAAAAGAAAAATATTTGGCAAGAAGCTTGATGAATTACCTGGCTCCTAGAAATTGCCGTTAATTAATTTATTTGAAACATTACTTCCGAAAAATATTATTTTGAGAAAATTTATTTAGGCGGAGTTTGCTTTGAATTTGCGCATCCAAAAACTTGTAGAAATAAAAAAGGCAGTTGCTAGCGCCTTTAAAAATACAAATATTGAATTCGGAGAAAAACGGAATTAACATGTCGCATGTTTCCGACGACACAAAAAATCGATGAAACATTCATTTTCGCCAAAATACTTCGTCAGGATGGGTCTGCTGTCGCGAAAGGCCAGCACGCCGAAGAAGGGCGTCTTTCAGGCGGATGAGGCCGAGAAACAGGACAGGTATTTCTTTCTCTCTCTCTCTCTCGCTCTCTCTCTCTCTCTCGCTCTCTCTGTCTCTCTCTCTCGCTCTCTCTCTCTCTCGGTCTCTCTCTCGCTCTCTCTGTCTCTCTCTCGCGCTCTCTCTCTCTCTCTCTAGGTCTCTCTCTGTCTCTCTCTAGGTCTCTCTGTCTCTCACTCACTCTCTCTCGCTCTCTCTCTCGCTCTCTCTCTCTCTAGGTCACTCTCTGTCTCTAACTCTCACTCTCTCTCTCTCTCTCCCTCTCTCTCTCTCTCTCTCTCTCTCTCTCTCTCTCTTTAACCTCCCAATTTCAGTGATCGCGATGATCTCTCCGAGTGCTCCTACCAATCCTCCAATACCGGCTCCATCTTGGGCTCCGACTATCAGAGTAGCTCATGCTCCTCAGCTGTCACTCCCCCTTTAACCATTCCAGGCGAACGTGAGGGGGATCAGGATCTGCGTGGACTCGACTGCTACCACGGGTTCTTGCCCCGATCGGATGCTGAAGAACTGTTGACGCAGCCCGGGGATTATCTTGTGAGGAGGAGCGAGCAGACAGATCAGGCAAGGCAGCAGAGATCATTTGGGATGAGAGAGGGGGAGACAGAGAGAAAGAGAGCGAGAGAGAACGCGCGAGAGCTATAGAAAGCGAGAGAGAGAAGAGAGAGAGAGAGAGAGAGAGAGCGAGAGCGACAGAGAGCGAGAGAGGGGGAGAAAGAATGAGAGAGATCGAGAGAGAGAGAGAGAGAGAGAGAGGGGAGAGAGAGCGAGAGAAAGAGAGCGAGAGGGAGAGAGAGATAGTGCGCGAGAGCGATAGGAGAGCGAGAGAGAGAGGAGAGAGAGAGAGAGAGAGAGAGAGAGAGAGAGAGAGAGAGTGAGAGAGAGCGAGAGCGATATAGCGATAGAGCGGTAGGGCTAGAGAGACAGAATAATTTTCAGGTGCTGACCATCCTGTCCCTGCGCGCCGAGCCGGCCCAATTCATGCACCTCGTCTTCCCGAAGGTCGACGACAAGTGGATGGTATTTTGGATGATATCGTTCTAATTTACAAAAATTTCGAATAATATTGTTAATTTATTTTATTTAAGTAAAAATTTATAAACAAAAAATAAAATTCTCCCAGAAAAAATGTGTTTTAGCTCAAATTTAAAGTTGACAACCTTCAACAGTTCTAATCGACGGCTTAAAATGTCTGAAAACCTCGTTTTGCTGCAGATTACGGACACGCTCGGCGTCGACAACCTCGGCGCGTATCTGGCCGGCCAGAGGGGTCAGCAGCCGATTGTTGCCGGGGATCCGCGGTAAAACTTCCTAAATGATCTCTGCTAGCCTGCCCAATATTGATTTTTAGCACCATCATCCGCCACCCGGTGCCTCGGCAAGTCTGGGAGTTGACGATCAGCCAGCTCGTCATGGGCAACAAGGTCAGCTGTGGATATGGACTTCATTTCTTCCTTAAAGCCTTTTTGTAGATGAAAATCAGAAAAATACCAATAAAAATAAATAATAATCTTACAATTTGAAATCAAAAATGTTTCAAAAAATGGTAAGACTCCAGATGAACCGCCAGCCGGCCCCCCCCCCACCTACCGTATCACGGCTCCCTGTTCATCTACAGGTGTGTAAAGTATACCAAAATGTTCGCTTCGTGCTCTGGCGAGTATTTTGGTATGCTTACACCTGTAGATGAGCTGGGAGCCGAGATACGACAGGTCAGGACTACTCGAGGAAACTGCAATTAAGCCAAAAAACGTTTCACAAAAATTGTGCTTCGAAACGTTGGCATATAGATTAATGCGTAGCTTTCTTGGGCCGGTTGTATCTATTAATTTAAAGGGCCGCTAAAAAGGCAATTCGTCTATGATTAAAACCCAGATTTTGCCTTCAACGGTCCTTTAAAACCGGTTTAAAGGTCTATTGAAGGCAAAACCCACAGCCATTTCCAGGTGGGAGAAGGGGCGTTCGGCGAGGTGTACCGCGGCCAGCTCTACCTCGACAAGGAGCGCCAGATGGCCGTCGCCATCAAGAAGCTCAAAAATGGTAGAATTTTCGCAAATTTTCTCTGCTAGTCTGCCCACGTATTGCTGCGATTCCTAAAGAATCTTTGCTAGCTTGCTATGCCAACTTGGAGATTAAACCGAACGATTCCAACGCTGACAACAAAATTTTATGAAACATGCATTTTTTAAGAAACGAGTTCTAAATTCTCAAATGATTTCTGCTAGGTTGCCTTGAATTTCAAGCGTTTTCCCATATTTTCTCTGCTAGTTTTCGATAAAATATTAGAAAAGGGAAATTTTTTACGGGTGCAATTCTGAGTTCTCCCAAGATCTCTGCTAGATAGCCTTAAATTTAGAGCGATTTCCCCAAATTTTCTCTGCTAGCCTGCCCTTTTTCGACACTCTTCTCCCCGAGAATCCCTAAAATCTTTGCTGGTTTGCCGGGGAAAATGTGCAGCAAAAAAAACATTGCATAATTGCTGAACAAAAACTCCACGGAATTCGGAAAATTCTCGAAACATGCTATTTCTGATGGTGGTTTATCGAATCTTCAAATGATAGATACCATAAAAAGAATGCTGTAATAAATCTGAAATTATCAAATTCATGATAATTAGACATTTTTAGCCACCGTGCCCGCCGAGCAAAAGGACCAATTCGTGGCGGAGGCCCGGCTGTGCCGTCGTCTTCACCACGAGTACGGGATTTTACAGGGGACTTCAACGGTCCTTTAAAAAAGGCCCTTTAGCATACCCGATTTTTCTGCAGTAACATCGTCAAATTCCGCGGCGTCATGGTGGAGCAGCAGCCGTTTTTGATGGTGCTCGAGTGGGCTGATGGAGGGTCGCTTTTGGTAGGCCAATTTTTCGCAAAGCAACTCTGCTAGCCTGCCTGGCGAATTCCCCAAAGAATCTCTGCTAGCATTCCATGAAAATCCTCGATTTTTCAGGACAACCTCCAGAAGAAGGGCAGCACCTACGATCAGGCGCAGAAGACGCTGTAAGCCTAAGCCAAGCCTAAGCCAAGCCTAAGCCAAGCCTAAGCCAAGCCTAAGCCAAGCCTAAGCCAAACCTAAGCCAAGCCTAAGCCAAGCCTAAGCCAAGCCTAAGCCAAGCCTAAGCCAAGCCTAAGCCAAACCTAAGCCAAGCCTAAGCCAAGCCTAAGCCAAGCCTAAGCCAAGCCTAAGCCAAGCCTAAGCCAAGCCTAAGCCAAGCCTAAGCCAAGCCTCAAAAATCTCCTGTTTGCAGCTTCTGCGTGCAAGCCGCCCAGGGCCTCCGCTACCTGGAGAAGAACAAGCTCATCCACCGCGACGTCGCCGCCCGGAATTGTTTGATCAGCGAGGGACGGTAAGTGACTTCGCGGGGTACTGTAACCTTTCACTGTCCCTTTAAAATGTAAATTTTTGCTTTTTAGGGTGAAAATCTCGGATTTTGGCCTGTCGCTGTACACGCTGCAGCTGAAGAAGATCGACCTGACGAAGGAGGTGCTGCCGATCAGGTCAGCTAGCAGAGATCATTTGGGATGAGAGAGAGGGGGAGGGGGCAGGCTAGCAGAGATCATTTGGGATGAGAGAGAGGGGGAGGGGGCAGGCTAGCAGAGATCATTTGGGATGAGAGAGGGGGAGGGGGCAGGCTAGCAGAGATCATTTGGGATGAGAGAGGGGGGGGGCAGGCTAGCAGAGATCATTTGGGATGAGAGAAGGGGGGGAGGGGCAGGCTAGCAGAGATCATTTGGGATGAGAGAGAGGGGGGGCAGGCTAGCAGAGATCATTTGGGATGAGAGAGAGGGGGAGGGGGCAGGCTAGCAGAGATCATTTGGGATGAGAGAGAGGGGAGGGGGCAGGCTAGCAGAGATCATTTGGGATGAGAGAGGGGAGGGGGCAGGCTAGCAGAGATCATTTGGGATGAGAGAGAGAGGGGGAGGGGGCAGGCTAGCAGAGATCATTTGGGATGAGAGAGGGGAGGGGGGCAGGCTAGCAGAGATCATTTGGGATGAGAGAGAGGGGGAGGGGGCAGGCTAGCAGAGATCATTTGGGATGAGAGAGAGGGGGAGGGGGCAGGCTAGCAGCGATAATTTGTGGAAATTCCAGATACCTGGCCCCGGAGACGTTCTCTAAATGGGAATTCTCGCTGAAGACGGACGTCTTCTCGTTCGGCGTGCTGATGTGGGAGGTGTTCTCGTTGGGCAAGATGCCGTACGCGGATTTGACGTCTGCCCAGGTGCGTTTCCGCAAATGCTCTCTGCTAGCCTGCCCTGTTCACAATTTTCAAAATTTCCCTGTCTTTTTCGGGTTCCGGTTTTCAAACTTTTTATGTTTTTGGCACTCGATACCTTAATATTTTTTTTTAGAAACATGCATTTCCAGGTGGCGAAGGGCGTGCTGTCCGGGATGCAACTCGGAGCCCCTCGGAATACGCCGCCAGGTGTGCTGAAGCTGATGGCCCTGTGCCAGAGCACCGACCCAGAGCATCGGTGGGGCCGGTTTTCCGCAAAGAATCTCTGCTAGCCTGCCTCTAAGTTTCGGCTAATAAAAGCTCATTTTTATCAGGCTAGATTTTGAAAATTCGCGATTTCGAAAATGCGGCATGATTAATTTCGGGATTAGCCAGTTCGGTATTTCGAAAATTCAGCGCTTTGAAAATTCGGTGTTTCGAAAATTCGCCATTTTGAAAATTCGGTTCTATCAAAATTCAGGTCTCACAAATTGGGCATGATAAAATTCGGTATCCGGTATTTCGGCGCTCTCTGATTTTGTTTTAGGAGAATTCGGCATGTCGAAAAGTTAGCGTTATGAAATTCTGCCTTACGAAAAGTCGGCACGATAAAATCGGGATGATCAAAATTCGGTGTTTCGAAAAATCGGCATTATCTGAATCGGGGTTTCGAAAACCGGTGTTATCCAAATCGGGATTTTGAAAAGTCGGAATTATGGTAATTCGGCGTTACGCAGTGCCGGCATTACCGGAATCGGCTAAGGAATTCGATATTATGTAATTCGTCGTATCAAAATTCGGTGTTATCAAATTTTTGGCACCCCGAAAATTCGGCATTATGAAAATTCGGTATTATCACAATTCGGCATTATGGAAATTCGGCGTTATCAAGTGCCGGCATTATTATGAAATTCGACATTTGGAAATTTCGCTATTCTGAAACACTTTTTTTCGAAATTCGGCATTTTCAATCATTTCGGTATTATCACAACCCAGCAAAATTTCAAAAATTTGGGACGATGAAATGCCGGCATTTCGAAAATTCGGCATTATGTAAATTGGTCTTCCTATGAAAATTCAAAATTGTGAGAACAAATTTTGCAGGCCGACGTTCCTGAAGTTGAAGCTCCATCTGCGCAAGGAGTACGACCAGCTGGCCGGCCGCCGCGGCTTGTTCAGCTTCCTCAAGAAGAAGACGTATTAAAGGGCCACGGAAGGCTGACCACGCTTCAATTATCGATTTTTTTTCCTCGTGCTTTTTTTTGGTTAACTCATCACACGCACAATGTACTTGTTGTCCTCGTCCCCGCTCCATTAAACCCTTTTTCTATCGCTTTTTTTTGGCCTTGGCCGCCCTGGAATAAAGATTTGACGTGTTTTTCCGAATCTCTAAAATCATTTTTATAATTTTTATGAACTTTCTAAACCTTTTTCTTTTTTTGAGAGAGAGGAGAGAGAGAGAGAGAGAGAGAGAGAGAGAAAGCGAGCGAGAGAAATTTTTCTAAGCATTCTTTTATTATGAAAATCCAGGATTTCGAAAGCTCAGCATCAACAATCGGTTAAATTATTAGCGTCATTTTTCTGAGCTCGTTAAACAGATTTTAAGCACGAAAATCCCTAGAAAAACGTAATGGAAATTTTGGGAAAAATGTGCTAAAAAACACAAAAGTAAGGCTACGAAAAACAACAGGAAATTTAGACTACAAAACCAAATTTTTATAATTTTTATGAACTTTCTAAACTTTTTCTTTTTTCTGTGAGAGAGAGAGATAGAGAGAGAGAGATAGAGAGAGAGAGGAGGAAAGAGAGAGGAAGAGAGAGAGAGAGAGAGCGAAATTTTTCTAAGCATTCTTTTATTATGAAAATCCAGGATTTCGAAAGCTCAGCATCAACAATCGGTTAAATGATTAGCGTCATTTTTCTGAGCTCGTTAAACAGATTTTAAGCATCGAAAATCCCTAGAAAAACGTAATGGAAATTTTGGAAAAAATGTGCTAAAACACAAAAGTAAGGCTACGAAAAACAACAGGAAATTTTGGCTACAAAATTTTGGTGGGTAAATTAAATGGATTAAATGAATGGTCGATATTTATCTTAACTCAATTACATTGGGTTAAAAATTAGATGTATTTTTGAATGTTTGCTTTTAGAGGAATCGAGCCTTGTAAAGCGCCAAGCCCTTTGGAATTTCTGTCGGGAAAAAAAGACACATGTTTTATTGAAAGTATAAAAACAAGTAAAATATTTGTTTGTGATTTGCGAAAGATTTGCAATTCGAAATGTCGATCATTAATTTGCAAAGAAACTCCGTCGTATTTAGCAAATATTATTTTTTGAACGCCTATTAGAAATTTAATGCATTTCTGGAATAAAAAAAAGGTTTCATCGCCGGCAGATATTGGAAACTGCAGTTGGGGTTTATTAAGAAATATCTCCGCATCACCTGAATTTTCTGAAATTTTCAACCGGTATAACGAAATGAAAGCAGCGTTATCGATGTTGCTAGCTTCTAAAGGCGCTCTGACAACGGGGAATGTAAATAGGCATTCCCTGTTCGTAAATAAAAATTTCAATTAATTTCCAGTTTTGAAAAGTGTGTTTCATTGCTACTCAAACAAGTCGGAATTTTTCTAGGTTATGATATAGTGGAAACGTGTAGCTCGTAAAAATCTGCCACTTTCGCCTTTTCGAGTGAAATAAAACGATCCAAACGCTGAATTTAGCATTCAGAGAAATTAACAAACTTTAGATTTAGAGAATACCGGGGTTGAAAAACCGCTTCGCGGCTTTTCAACCCTGGCCCCGTCTTCTCCAATGATCTTCTTGGCTTTGCATAATTTTCCCGGATTCGGATGACGAAAAATGAAAAATGCTCTGGCCGTCCCTTTATATAGGCTACCGCGACTTCCGGCGCATGCTAATTTGATCCTAACAAATTGGGGTGTCCGATTTTCCATGAAAAACTTAATTTTAATGTCGAAAACATCATATTTTGTAGAATCTAATATGTGTGCAGTCATCTCCAGCTCATTACGCACCTAATGACGTATCGAACATACCCCTAAGTACTTCCCTTCTTGAGATACTACTGGAACACGGTGACGGAAGTTGCATGCAAATGCACACACACACACACAGACACTATTTTTTTATATATAGTAGGATAAAGCATTTCTTGCTCTTATCATCGTTATTATCCAAACGGCATTATCGATTTTCTAAGGTCCAGAGGTACTCTGCCTGCGTGCAATCCGGATTTGTAACTACCATTTCCAATTAAGCACAATTTTTTTGAAAACAAATGCGTTTCATGAAAAGTCCAAGACACGAAATTTTTTGGCGTTGTAATTGATTTGGTTATTTATGGAATTTATTCGATAAAAATAAAAAATTTATTTCATTTTACTACCATTTTACCAAAACCTTTTTTAAAAACAGAGACTAGTTTAAAAATTTTTGAGATTTTTGCGCTTTCAAACCCCCTAAAAAGCTTGCCATTTAAGCATTTTTGCCTATTTTGAATCAAAAAATTCCAAATTTGAATTTTTATGATTTTCCGCATAAAAATACGGAAATATATTCCGGGATTTCTCGAAGGCCAAAATGCGCGGCTGGCCGCTTCTGCTGCTGTTCGGCTTTCTGGGAAGCGCCCATGCCATAGCCAACATCTCCGCCCAAGTCGACCAGCATGCCGAAGGTGAATTTTTAATTTATGAATTTTTCATTATTAATTTTTACAAAATCAACAAATTAAAAGAGTACTGATTAAAAAATTTTTGAATTTTTGAATCCAAGACCCAAACCAAAAATTTTTGAAGTTTTTTTCCAAAAAAATGTTTCAAGGAAATGCACTAACAACGCGAAATCAGTGGCATTTAATTGGTCGCGTAGTTGAGTCCAAGGATAAAATTTTTCACATATAAATAATTAAATAATTAAATGTAATGTATGTAAACAAATGTAATTCTGAACGTTTTTTCGACACCTAAGCTTTTTATTTAATGAAAACTACAAATCTCGATAGAAACACAAAAAAAATACCGATTTTTCGACCAAAATGCGCGATTTTCGATTTGATTTTCAAGATTTGAAAGTTTTTTTTAGAAAGCCTTTCCGCCTTCATATAGTTAAATTCGCGAAAACGCTATCAAAACACCTACTATTCGGTTGCTCGGAATTTCAGGGCTAATAGCAAAAAATCGGCCCTGGTGCGTTAGCGGGGGAGCTGACGGAGCTATTGGAAGCAGAAGTGAGTGGACGTGGCCTCCCCCCGCTAACGAACTAGAGCCAAATAACGCCCCCGTTAATGCGGAAGCACCGAAACGCTGAAAGCGCGTACCTCAGTGTTGTAGTTTCAGTGCCAAAGTGTCGGCGCGCGCCGGTCGGACAGTCCAGCTTCGTCGCCGACGAGAGCCAGACCACCTGGGAGGATCAGATTGCCGTACTCAAGGATGGGATTTGTTATGGTGAGTCTTTTCTCTCGCTCTCTCTCACTCTCGCTCTCTCTCTCTGACTCACTCTCTATCTCTTTTAGTATGCCCTACATACGACGACTCGATGCACGACCCGAAAACGCGTGCCCGTTTCTGCTTCTTCTGCGTCGACGACAACTTCTGGGCCACCAAGTGCCAGTGGAACTGCATGAGCAACGTCATCTGGCAGGGCAGATATTGCTGTGGGTCAAATGATCTCTGCTAGCCTGCCCCCTCCCCCTTTCTCTCATCCCAAATGATCTCTGCTAGCCTGCCCTCCCCCCTCTCTCATCCCAAATGATCTCTGCTAGCCTGCCCCTCCCCCTCTCTCTCATCCCAAATGATCTCTGCTAGCCTGCCCCTCCCCCTCTCTCTCATCCCAAATGATCTCTGCTAGCCTGCCCCCTCCCCCTCTCTCTCATCCCAAATGATCTCTGCTAGCCTGCCCCCTCCCCCTCTCTCTCATCCCAAATGATCTCTGCTAGCCTGCCCCCTCCCCCTCTCTCTCATCCCAAATGATCTCTGCTAGCCTGCCCCTCCCCTCTCTCTCATCCCAAATGATCTCTGCTAGCCTGCCCCTCCCCCTCTCTCTCTCATCCCAAATGATCTCTGCTAGCCTGCCCCCCCCCCCTCTCTCTCATCCCAAATGATCTCTGCTAGCCTGCCCCCTCCCCCTCTCTCTCATCCCAAATGATCTCTGCTAGCCTGCCCCTCCCCCCTCTCTCTCATCCCAAATGATCTCTGCTAGCCTGCCCCCTCCCCCCTCTCTCTCATCCCAAATGATCTCTGCTAGCCTGCCCCCCTCCCCTCTCTCTCATCCCAAATGATCTCTGCTAGCCTGCCCCCTCCCCCTCTCTCTCATCCCAAATGATCTCTGCTAGCCTGCCCCTCCCCCCTCTCTCTCATCCCAAATGATCTCTGCTAGCCTGCCCCCTCCCCCTCTCTCTCATCCCAAATGATCTCTGCTAGCCTGCCCCTCCCCCTCTCTCTCATCCCAAATGATCTCTGCTAGCCTGCCCCTCCCCCTCTCTCTCATCCCAAATGATCTCTGCTAGCCTGCCCCCTCCCCCTCTCTCTCATCCCAAATGATCTCTGCTAGCCTGCCCCCTCCCCCTCTCTCTCTCATCCCAAATGATCTCTGCTAGCCTGCCCCCTCCCCCTCTCTCTCATCCCAAATGATCTCTGCTAGCCTGCCCCCCCCCCTCTCTCTCATCCCAAATGATCTCTGCTAGCCTGCCCCCTCCCCCCTCTCTCTCATCCCAAATGATCTCTGCTAGCCTGCCCCTCCCCCTCTCTCTCATCCCAAATGATCTCTGCTAGCCTGCCCCCCCCCCTCTCTCTCTCATCCCAAATGATCTCTGCTAGCCTGCCTCCTCCCCTCTCTCTCATCCCAAATGATCTCTGCTAGCCTGCCCCCTCCCCCTCTCTCTCATCCCAAATGATCTCTGCTAGCCTGCCCCCCTCCCCCCTCTCTCTCATCCCAAATGATCTCTGCTAGCCTGCCCCCTCCCCCCTCTCTCATCCCAAATGATCTCTGCTAGCCTGCCCCTGCCCTCTCTCTCATCCCAAATGATCTCTGCTAGCCTGCCCCTCCCCCTCTCTCTCATCCCAAATGATCTCTGCTAGCCTGCCCCCTCCCCCCTCTCTCATCCCAAATGATCTCTGCTAGCCTGCCCCTCCCCCCTCTCTCTCATCCCAAATGATCTCTGCTAGCCTGCCCCCTCCCCCT